TTTAAGGATAAGGTATTACTTTATTAATTTCAAATTAAAAGTTAAATTTAATAGATTGTAACTCTATTTTTAGTATCACAAATTCTATAATGAATGGATGGCAAGTGAAATTTTAAGTCTAACTCCTGCTGGTCATATCTGACATCCTTCATACAGTACAGTAGCTAATTAGATAAAAATGGCATGGGATCAAGTTGATTCTGCACTTATTGTGCAGTCATTTAAGTGCTGTGGTGTCTCTGTCACAAGAGATGGGTCAGAAAATTGTAAAGTTTTCGACTATGAATGGGTAAAGAATCCAGAAAGTCAATGCCGAAGTAATAATTATATATTCGAAAGTTTAGAAGAATCAAATAATAGTGAGAGCGTTCATGATTTAACTCAAGACACAGACAGTGATAATGAAGATGATGAAAGTGTTTGTGACCTAACTCAAGATATCGATTCGGACAAGGTTCAGACAACACTAGATGAATTTGATTGCGGTGAAGAGGTAGCTGATATTCAAGAAAGTGAGGAAGAAGAAAATGATGTGTATTATGAGAATGAATCAATCGAATATTCAAATGCTTGGGACTAACGCATCAAGAATCTGCTGAGATGGGATTTATAACCTTGGATCATGCTATCAATATGGAATAAGAGATGAAAAGAATAAATAAGGCGTTCGAAAAAATGAATTAATCAAGTTGGGTACTGTTATCAATAAGAATTGAAAGGGTTAAATATAAGACGTTTATCTGCAAATTTAGGTCATATCAAACTTTATATAACCAAGGTGGTCATAACATATTAGTAAATTTTATAAGTTATAACAGGTCATAAGTTAATACTGAATATTCTAGATACTGTTAATGATTTAAAATAGAGATATAGAATAACACTGCAATAAATCAATATAATTCTTGATGCTTATTATTTTTTTTATTTTTTTTTATTTTTTATTTTGTTTTAAATATTTTTTTTTTAGATTTTTATTTATTTTATCAAAAAAAGTTACTGATCTATATATTAAAAAATTTAGTCTACTGTATTGGAAAAAAACTTCAATAAACTAATATATTATAAATTTATTGTTAT